CAGAAAACGAACAAAGAGACATTAAACAAACATAAGAAAAACTTATTCTTTTTAAAAACTTTATTCCTTTCATTTGACTGATAAAGGTCACGAAACTGGAAAACCCGTGTAGCAGAAATATGAAGAATAATATATATATATATATATATATAGAGAGAGAGAGAGAGAGAGAGACAGAGAGAGAGAGAGAGAGAGAAAAAGAGAGAGAGAGAGAGAGAGAAACTAAAACAAATCTACATTATAACCAAAAACGCTTGCAGTTTCTTTCTTTTCTTAAAATATACATATTTCTCTCGTTAGAACAACTATAAACTTTTTTTTTATATATATATATATATATATATATATATATATATATATATATATATATATATATATTCACCAAATGAAGAATGTTTCATGCGTGAACGCAGTCTTAATTCTCAGTGTCCACTTTTTATATTTACATACGCTCCATCACTGATATTGACTATTTTCCCCATAAATATAGCATGTCTAAAATTTATATTTTTATTTTATATATATATATATATATGTGTGTGTGTGTGTGTGTGTTTGTGCGTGCGTGTGTGTTTGTGTGTGTGTGTGTGCGTGTGCGCGTGAGCTGTAGATGTGTGTACATTGGTGTACTAATCTCTTTTTGAATCCTAGTATTGAAAGGAAATGATAAATGGAGCGACCATATCATGACGTCATGGTAATACCCTGAACTGTAACGTTTGTTCTCTGACATCTGCGCAGCCAGTGTAACTGACGTCTGGGCTTCTCATGGCACGGTGATTTGCATTATCGGATTTCTAACGAAACATGATAATGGATGCCAGACGCATGGGATATTCCATTTCTGAAATTATGGGGACATTAGACATCTCGCGATCTCTCGTGTCGCCTGTGTACCTAGAATACTTGATAGAAGGCGTTAACTCTCTCTCTAGTCGACAATCTGTCTTTAATAATTGTCACCAGAGGCGTCTGGCTAGAATATCAGCTAATTATATAATTTTACTCAATTTCGCCTCTTTTCGTATATTTCTACCTTTATTTTATCTATTTTGGGAGATGCAGGTTTTAATAAATCGCTTGGTTATTCTACAGAGGCCCATCGTAAAAAGTTTAATACGAGGTCTGGTTAAAAGTATAAGGCGTGTTGCTATGATGACTTAACTAAGGTGCAGAAATTTAAGTCGTTTGGCACATTGATCTTGAACTGAGTCGCGAATATGAAGAAAGTTATCATGTTCTCACTAACCATTGTTTATAGTACTGTCTCGAAATGGAGTGTGTAATGTGTTGTCATCTTACCATACCACAGAGCTTCCAACAATGGTCATGCCCCATGGAGCAGTTTTGGTCCAAGTACTACATTTTCCATGTCCAAAACCTCCATAGTCTCCAGATCTCCCTCTTAGAAATTTTTCCTGATCAAAAATCAAATTCCACTTGAAAGGAACGAGATTCGAGGAATTCTTGGAAATCCAAAGAATGCTACAAGGCAGCTGCTCGATATGCAAAAAAAAAAAAAAGAAAAAAAGAAAAAGAGTTTCAAGAATGCTTCCATCAATGGATACAGTGCTGGATATAGAAATGCTGGACAATGCTTCAGAATTGGACTACTTCGAAGGAGATTAAACGTCGAGTTGATATATGTTGTAAGTTTTTAGTTATAGCACCAGTCCTGATAATTGTTGATCTGACCTCAAACGCATTATTACTTTCTGTGAATAAAAAAAACAAAAAAACTAGCCTTTATCTCTTTTGTTCCGGGCTGTTGTAAAATATTCACTTTTCATCGCTCATTATAATTTTTGAAGGTCGATCATTTAAATGCCCACTCATTTTTTCCCTTGAATTAAGTATCATTCATTTAAATAAATTTTAGTCTTATGTTTGACGATAAAGTACGACCGACAGCAAGGCCTCTGACCAGGAGACTAGTTTTGAGAAGCGTGGAACCACCTCCTAATTGCTGTTGTTTCCAGATTCACCTTGACCCGTGGTAGTAGCGACTGTTAGGGTCAAAACTTTGGGCAAACAATGAACCCCCAAATAAAAACGAAACACTATGAAAGTATAAAAGAATATTCTCATATAATGCCACCAATTCATTTTTATATTTAAAAAAATAGCAACGATATATATTTACTGTAAGATTACCAGCAATACACTTTATCTGCTGCTGAAGCCATAAAATTTTACAAAATATTTAGATGTCGGCATTAAATATACCATAGAGTTTGATATGCCGCTTGACAAATAACGCTTCAACAATAAACCAGTATAAATCATTTTAATTTAAATTATCTGGTAAACTAAAGCAATCAAGTTGATGGAATCTATTTTCAACATTTCCTTTTCATAATCTATCTACCTCGTGGTATAATGTTTATTAATCATTAGTAATATCTTGATTTGATAGCATTCTCATTTGGTTCACACGAAGGGGGGGCCTCTTTCGGTGGGATATCTCTAACACACCAGAAATACTATATAGAAAAATAAGTTAATAATCCATGATTGAATAATCAATAAATAAAAATAGGCTTCTGTTTATCAGTTGCTCTTGATCGGGCTTTGGGTACAATAGGCGATAAGTTATGTGCAAAGCTGAAGATTAAAATAGAGTTTGTCTTTGAAAAGGTCACTGTATTCCTTGTTAAACTTAACGACATTTTTGGCGGGTTCTCTGAAGTCAGATTCCGGGTTTCTTAGTTAAACCAAAACGTTCAAAATTCCAAATCCCGATAAAAAACGGCAACCTTTTTGGCTTTTGAAATACGTCAAATTTTTTTTCTGTTTACTTAAAAAAAAAAACGTTACTTATTTTTGTCCGACAGGTTCATACGTTTTATGCAACTTTTGATGTCATTAGAATTTTTTGGCAACACACTGACCTATGTTAAAATCCTCACAGTATTTTGTATTATTGAAGTTATCGCTAACATTTTTTTGTCGAGATTTACAAATTGTAGATTTTTTACAATTTCGTAAACCAGTCAATGGTATCTGGGTAAGCTAAGTTGTTTCGAAAAATATTTTGGCAAAAACCCTACGTCGCAGTTTAATAAATTATTTAATCTAATTTAATTTAATTCAGTTTTATAGGACTTCATGGTAAACTATATTTTTAAAGAAAATATTTTTTTCATTTTAACAGTGAAGAATGAATTCTTAGGATTTCTTACTCTTCAACGTGCAACATACAACTGGCTATGCGTAAATATTTCTTTCTGGAGACAAATTCAAACATTTTGAAGCGTTTAGCCTTGTGATTTGTTTATTGTCCTCGCAAACACAGAACAAACTGGAAACTGGATTCTTGTATATAAAAACTTAAAGACAATATAGGCAAAAAAACAATAGTGCATTTTTCTTAAATTAATATTTCTTAATTTAATCATTAAATTGTTTTTTAAAATACCAGGTGTATTTTTTTTTATGTTAAGCAATTAAAATTTTAATTTTTCAAAAAAGAACTGAAACAAAATTTATTGTACAAAGTTACCCAGTCTAGTAAAAGTAACTGTACTTTGTACCTCCTTATCTATTTGCTATTCCCTCCATCGATGTATGCCTATTTTAGAGGGGGTGATGGATCCCGGACGCACTAACGGAAGTCACATAATTTTATATATATATACTTTATAACAATATAAGTAATTTCTTGACAAGCTGGCGTTTGACGAGAACCGAAAAAAAAAAAAAAAAACTATCCTGCGATTCTGGGAGCGGAGAAATTGCACCCTGAATTTCATTGCATTAACAATCAGGTAAAGGGGTTAAACATTATATCATCCGCAGCGTAGATTGACCTTTTTTTTAGGTTTATCAACGTTTTCGCAGGTAATTATTTACATTGTTTACATTGTTCGGACTATTTACCCATGTTCATTGTCATGATTACAATGTTTCGGCCGTTGCACGCTCTGCCTTCTTCAGGTGATTATCATCAATCACGTGGCCAAATGAATAAAGGTGTTGGTTGCATCCCGTGATTTGACACAGAGAGTCGTAGGTTTAATACCTGGCTACGGTTAACAAAAAAGCACTTGGAGAGTTGAGTTAAAGTGAGATAAATGAGACATCTGGAAGTGGCATGACACGTGGAACTAGAGTAATCTATCCCGAGGATGGGAGAAGGAGTCTAGTTCAAAATTCTAATCATCTGAGGAAGACGAACGGCCGAAACGTGGACATGACAACAAAAATGAGGACAGCAACCCCAACTATGTGAATAATGACAATACCTCATCTCAGAAACATAGACAGGTGCTTTTGCAGGTAATTAAAATGCAGAGAATATTTTTGGATTGTAAGTGATTTTAGAAATACTAACGATTTACAAGTGCTACAATTTAACCCATATATGTGGGAGAAGTGGTGGTTTCATAACTACCCCAAAGATATTTGCGATTAATTAAATATAATGAACCCGACTGGTATTTGAACTCGGTTCTCTGATCTCCAATCCCAAGTCGTTATCCATTACACCACCCGCGCATACAATTGCACAGCAGCTGGTATTCCTAAGCATTCAACCATCTAGGTAGTGAGCAGGCTTAACTTTGGTTATCGGATGAGAACCTGTGTTCCAACGTGATATGGCTGTAAGTCCCGCAGCCTAGAAGGTAAAGAAAAAACGGATTAAACTAAATTTGTGGCAGGGGAAAAACAACAACAACAAAACAAACAAATTCTACAAGTCATTAAAATCAAACTAGATAAATTGTTCGTTGTCCGTAACAATCTATTCAGTATCTATATTGAAGAGTTTGTAAATACTGTACACATGATCAGTATATACCTTCCGGTCTTTCGGTGGAAGTCTAAAAATGCCAGTGCCATCCTATCTTTTACCTTCGGCTGAAATCTTTTATTGAAAGGGTTCTTTAGATTTTCTGTGTTAGTGTCCTTTCCTTCCCTTCTTGGTAAGTTTAGCCTTTTGCTTGTTTTCGACTTTTACTGTAACTTCTATTTTCCTGTTTTCTGTTTGAATTGTTGAGCCGTTGATCACCGGCCAATAGAACTCGCGCTTTCTGGCGTTCAATTTCTCCCGCTCACAGGAAGTCCTTCTTTTATTCTTTATTGCCAGCGCTCGTCACTGAAAGGGAGAAAGCTGCGTAGGCGAATGCAAGCGAATCTTCAAAAGGTTGAACTCCGTTTCTATTTATCAGCTGCGCTCGATCGGGCCTTGGGTATATCGAGAGATAAGTTAGGTGCGAAGCTGAAGATTAAAACGGAGTTTGTTTTTGAAAGGGTCACTATGATTCATTGTTAAACTTATCGAGATATATGTATTTTTTTTTTTTTTTTTTGACTTTGATGTCAGATGCTGGGTTTTTATTTCTTACGATTTCTGAAATCGAACCACCTGGTCAAATTTGGCAGTTCAGTTATTTACTATTTTTGACGGCTTTCATTCTTCATGGGCGAATGATCTGTGTTTGGAAAGTGAACCTGACCAAGAGACCAGGGATCGAATCTCACTAAGGTCGATTTGTCAAGGAGGTGACTTCTGAATACCTACTTGGGTAGACAATCCAAGCAGGCTGCACTGGTGTTAACTGCCTGAAAACCATGTCTTGATTTTACTCAAGACTTCTGCCTGATATTTGTGGACGAAATTGATCGAAAACTATATTTATGTTAACAGTAATATATGTCATCGTTTCCGTTAAGTTTGAGCATACTGGCCTTGTTAAAACTGGTTATGACACCAGATTACGCGATTTTTCCCATAAAATCTGACTTCCATTTCATCTATATAAATAAATGTGAATGTCAGTATGCCATACTTTTTCAACTTTAATCCTAGAGGCCATAGCTCAACATATCATGCCGTTTAAGAATCAGGCTGACTCTGTGAGCAAACTGAAAACATTCTCGGCTTGATCTGGACCCGTAATCCTGAAATTTTGTATTCCCAAATTTTCATCACTACGATTGTTTTCAGCGATTTTTTTTTACGTGATGTTCTGCGACGAATATTTTTATGATAACAATTTTTATAACTTGGAAATAAATTTAGGAATAATCGAAATTAATTGCGAACGTCCCCCATGAAATAAAAAATAATTGTTTGTACGGAAAATAACGTAGACCAAATTTTCCTAAAATTATGTTGCGACAGAAGAATTATCTTTGAGCTTTTAGAAGGTAAGTTTAAATATTAATGCTTTACTTTAATACGGTGTTCAGTTTTGAGTTCTTCTGTTGTTCATTGTTGCCTATCCTGTAAGGCAGTAGTGTGCCTTACAAAAAGAAAATCTCCGGCAACAGAGGACCAGATTGCAATCAAAAGAGACAAGGCTGCAGCGAGGAAAAGAAAGTCCCGCACAAATGAAAACCCACATCAAACGGCAGCCAGGAGAGCTTTCAATTCTGAGAATATGCAAAGACTTAGGGACTCTCAAACTCCTGAACAAGCCAAAACCCAATTAAGAGCCTTCCGCAAGAGCTAGTTTAAATACCATTCGATAGGGTGGCTTTTCATTTTTATCATCACATCTCAGCAAAAACATTCTGCAGTCTATATCCAGTCTGTACTACTTTCAGACAAACTTGTGCAAATAATGGCGGTAATCGCATACATGTGAATCAATTCAACGAAGTCAAACAACCAATTGTATAATCATTCAAAGAGGAATTGGTGGAAACAAGCAGATCAAAATAATGAAGATGTTGTACAGAATAATCCAGTGTACGTTGACGTGCGTAATTTTCAATCGAATGTAAAAGTTAAATCATTACGTCCGGAAGAGTATATTAGCCGTTTTAGACAAAATGCTAATGATGGCTTCTTCGCTAATGCAATAAGAAAAGATGACGTTGCACAATTTTTAGTTTAATTTTTTATCCGGACTTGCACGAATTACGAAGGAAAGACGTGAAAAAATCTTGAGAACAGAAACTAAATCTCCAACTTTATCAGTGACTGTTTCCTCACACACACACACACACACACACACACACACACACACACACACACACACACACACACACATATATATATATATATATATATATATATATATATATATGAAGAAAAATATACAAAACAAAAAAATCTTAATATATAATTATGCTGTATTAATGTTAATATAAAGTCAACGTCAGACGTTTCGGTCTATTTTAGTTCATATTTATAAAACATTATTAACATTAGAACATATAAAATTCAACATGAAAAAGACGATGGACATAAGAGCACAACTAATCCAAACAGATAACTGAAATTTTTATATAAGATCAGCGTTCCGTTTAAAATATGATCACGTCGTCGTCACGTGGGCGATGTTGTGAAGACGTATTCGAAGATGATTTCTAAATATTAAAATATTAAACAAATTCGATTGAACTATTTTCTCATATAAACAGTTAGTCTTTATATTAACATTAATACGGCATAATTATATATTAAGATTTTTGTTTGTTTTTTCTGTATATTTTCTTCATACTGTCGGATCTATATCGATATATTTGCTTACACACACACACACACACATATATATATATATATATATATATATATATATATATATATATATATATATATATATATATATATATATATATATATATATATATATATATATATATATATAATAAAAAGGCTTAAACACTAATATTCCATAGTCATAATTTATTCCATTGGAATCGTAAATACAATCCAATTCATCAGACCTACAAATTAAAATGAAAACAGAAAAAAAAAAAAAAACAACTCCGGGAATAAAAAATAAAATTTAGCGAGAGTGTATGTATGAGAGTGTGAGACGAATGTGAGAGTAAATGAAAGTTATAGGGAGGGGTAACAGACGAAAGAAGAACAGGAATGTCTAAAGATGAAGTGGGGATTAAAATTTAACAGAGAGAAGTTTTAAAGAGGAGAGTCAAAGACGGTTTAAGTGAGAGAAATATGAATATACTCAGATGTCTAATACATTAAAGATATACCGGAAAAGATACATTTTGTGGTGACATACACACACAATAGACGATTTAAACTTAAAGATCAGAACATGAGAGAGGGAGAGGAAAAGAAAAGTATGTATGTATATATATTTATATATATTTTAGATATATGATTGCATATGTATGTGTATATTTACCACTAATATCATATATATATATATATATATATATATATATATATATATATATATATATATATATATATATGAGTGTGTGTGTGTGTGTGTATGTATTGGGAAATGGACAAAGTCCGACAATTATTTTAAGTTATCTTCTGTTTATACGTTATTTTTATAGATGCAAATATTTAAGCAAATTTTCTGTTTATAATAAACTATATAAAAATAACGTATAAACAGAAGATATCTTAAAATAAAGGTCGGGCTTTCTTCATTTCGTAGTGTATGACGTCATTTGTTTACGTTTGGATACGCATCCAGCAGAAATAAATGTTCGAGGGAAATCATTGAAGATTGTAGTTTAAAGACAGTAAATTCGAACTTGCTAACCAGATACTCCTCTGTAGCTAAACTGGTATAGCACGACAGGCTATATGACAGTTCTGTGTAAGATGCAGGTTCGATTCCTGTCGGAGGACGCATATTTTCTATGAGAATTTCTCGGACATTCAGGCCGGTAAATGTTGTTACATCTGTTTATTATAAACAGAACATTTACTTAAATATTTGTATCAATGAAAATAACATATAACAAGAAGATAACATAATGTATAGATGTCTGATTGAATAAATTACAAAAAAATATGCTTGCTTATTTTTATCATAATCCTTTCATATTCCCGATTATTTTACCTATATTACAGTCAAATGAGGCAAGAAATGCGCTGTCCTTTTTAATATGTTATGTATCTCCTCCTTCCGATTTTTGAGAGGTATTAAGTGATTATTAGTTACTTATAGATCTGCCTTTTCACAAGGCCACGTTTAAATTAGCAATTGATGTCGTTCTGTTGGGCTACTGGATTATAGAATTTAAAACATGTGTAATTAGGATTATGATAAAAATATTATGCTTGTAATTTATTCAATCAGACATGCCTAAAAGAGGAATTGCAGTCTAAATATACACACATGCACACACATATGTATGTGTGTGGGTGTGTGCAGTATTTACTGGAAAGTGCTCACTATCCGTGATAGAGCTAGTATATGCGGTTGCATGGAGAGTTCTTTTGACCTGAGCTTTCATGCTTTCTCGATCTTCGGATAAACTGGTTTATTTTTTCAAAAGTGGATCTATTTATGCTTTATTTGTTCTTGATCATTTGTGTGTAGTGATGGAGGGGGAAGTTTCCTTCTGTGTTTGTTTGACACATAGGCGTAGATACGCAGGCATACGGTCGTATATATGTTAGTACATACATACACACCGATATTCATAATCTTGAACTAGGCGCAGTTACACATTCATACGCTAAAGCACACGTATGTACGCAATTTTCATTCTATTTTGGTGTCAAGATTGTAGCGTTTCATATGTAGCAATATCCTCTTAGTAGAGCAGAGGTGGAGGCGGCTTTGACGTTTTTCACGACGTTTTTTCGCATCGACGGACATGCTCACATGCACTCACATATACACATATATGTAGATCCACACCCACACTCACTGATTTGGGTCTATTGCAACCATTTGGATTAAGTTGAGTTCTGTCTGTAGACATGGCGATGGGGTTTGTATTTTTTTAACAACAACAACTGCAGCTAACGATTGTAACTATATTAATGGTAATATTAACTGTGGTATTATTATTGATATAGTGATAATAATTAATGTGTTATTAGTTATGATGAATGGTAAAGTTATCCCTAACAATAATGAAAACAATAATGATAACTATAATAATTAATGCTTTATGAAAAAAATAATAAAATTTAAAATAATATAAAATTTTCTTAGGTTTATTTTAAAATTTAATAACTGAGATGAAATACCATAATAATTAATGAAATGTTATGTTATTTTATTCATCATTAATTTAATTTTTTAATAAACGTTTTGTTCATTTCATTTTTTAATTGTTATCATGATGATCATTTTATTAAATCTTATAATACTTATAATAGTAATACTTATAGTACTTTAAATTTTATTATTAATTGCATAATTGTTTAACATTTTATTAATTTAACGTAATAAACAATATTTAAAAGACATTGCTACGTAACAGGGAAAAGTGCTGAAAAGTGCCGCTTTTGGTTTTCTACCGCCTCTTCAATTCTCATCAGTGCTGGGTTAATTTTCGAAATACAATCCTGAATAACAAAGCGCCAACTTCATATTTGTTCAATTAATATTAGTCAGCGACATCAATAATATATGACATTGTATATAATGGATTTGCAAAACTAATGATATGGCTGACGTATTCTCAGCTGACATCATTAATTGTCCAAATTTGTTTGATTGTACGTCCAAGAACCCAGTGAGTATTTCATGCAGGACTTGTACATAATTTGTATACTCAAGAATAAAAGAAGAAACAGAAAGATCTTTCTGTTTATTTTTCTGGAAAAAATCTCTTCTGCTATTTTTTTTTAGCTGGACATCCTCAGCCTTGAAACTTCTGCCAATTTCTTCTTCAGCTTCTTGGTGCTACATCTTCTTCACCCCAGTCTTCTGTCCGCTGTAAACCATAGCCAATTGAAGGTATTCATTAAACTTCTCAGTATCCAGATCATCAATGAATTTTCTTACCTGATTTCGTTTGGACATGATGACATCGCTTATGCTGGATACATAAGCATTAGGCGCAAGCTTCTTTCTTTCACAAAATTCACCGATGATGCTTTCAGATATCATGGTTGGAAGCTGCCTCAACCGTGGCGAATGAATTTTATGCTGCCTGTTTAACAATTCCACAATCTATTTTAAACATGCAGCCATTATTTGTAGAAAGATGGATTCATGTGTGAGGACAATCAATAGGGACTCTATCACTTGCTTTGGTAATGGATTTCCAAAGTCCTCCATGGAGACGAAAGTAGACATAAGGTTCTCGCAGAGTACTTTCACATTGTCAATGACCGCTTTGACGATGTTCATTGTATCGATGGGGTCATTGTGTGTTTTGAGAGCTGTGTAGAAGGTACTCATCCAGAGCCTTGATAACATCTTCCCTATGATTTCCAGCTCTTTCTCCTCGACGATAGTAGCTTCTGCAAATAATAGTTGCAACCTTGAGACGGTTTCATTTGTGGGGTAAAGTGCCAAGGCAAATTGCTGACACTGTCCTAAATGGAAAAGTAAGTTGCACCTTGATAGAAAATTATATTATATTCACGCGGAATCTAGTGATTATGAACAATAGAGGCCCTTGTTGTTTGATAAAGGCCTTCATTGATTTAATAAGACATAATTGTTCACGAGACTCTGAGGGAATTCACGCCTACAATAATTCGCCATGCTAGGCATTCACTCACATTGGAAGCTGTTGCTGTGCATTTTTTACAATCGCTCATGAACTTCCTCGTCTTTCTTTTGATAGATTCTAGTGGATGTTAATTACAGTACAATTCCACAAATTTAACCTGCCACACCTTCTCCAATAGCGAAATTGTTAAATGATTAACGGGAATCCGGTTTGTTAAGCAGCATTTTATATTTGAAATTATGTTTTTCATACTGGTATCCACACTTAAGCCAGTAGAGAGTGAGCTTACTTTTGCTACGTTGTTGACGCAGTTACAAATATGCTGATTGTAGTCCATAGTAGACCCTCCAGGAAGACGTTCCAGTGACAGAAGATGAGAAGATGTTAATACCACACTGTTCATGTGGTTTTCATCTTGTGTCGTTGAATCGAAAACTAAAGTACAGTTTTCTGTACATTACACTGCATTGAATGTCTTCACATCTGAAAGGAAGCCAAGCTCCACCACCATTCTGTAAATTGTTGTAGTATTTTTTTTTCAAACAGGCATCTTCCAGTGACAATGTTCCCAAAATATTTTGCACAACATGAGAAATACGAGAAGCAGTAACTCTAGCTAAAAGACAGTCATAATACTAACGAAATGGTGGGCACCGGTTTTTGGTTCATTTTGTATTTCTCTTATTTGCTTTTTGAGGTGCAATTATTTTTGTTTTTCTTTTTCTTCAATTATTTTTTTCTGATTTTTTTTTTGAAAATGACAGGAAGATGAATGATGGGAGGAAATTTTTTGGCAAATTTGAAGTTGTATCCAACTTTGAATTTGAAGATGAAGAAAGGGTTTCATATGCAACAGACAGGGTTGCATCAGAGAGGGTTGAGTCAGACAGGGTTGCAGTTGCCACAGAAAGGGTTACAACAGAAAGGTTCGTACTTGCAGAAGAAAAGATAGCCCTTGAATTAGACAAGGTTACACTTGCAGAAGATAGTATTGTTTTTGTAGCAGACGGTGTTGTAGTTGAAACTAGGGTAGTCAAAATTAATTAAAAAAAAAATGAGAAACCTATTTTTCAAATATGAATGAAATAAAGTATAAAAATTATTGCATTTATTAGACATTAGCTTTAAAATTAAATAAAATGTTTTCTTTATCAAAATAACTGTCATAGAACAGAATAAAATTCAAAAACTAAAAAAAAAAACTATCTATTTATATTTCTGAGATGAGGCAATATGTACACTATTTACATTATTCGGATTATTGTCCTCATCTTTGTCGCCATATTTATTACAACGTTTCGGCAGTTGTACGCCCTGCCCTTTAGTTCGATATTCCAGTCACCTGAAGAAGGTCGGAGAGTACAACAGCCGAAACGTTGTAATAAATATGGCGACTAAAAAAAACAAAAAAAACAAACTAGTAATGAAGAAAAACTAAAAGAAAAATTGCTCAGTTGAAATATGACCCACATTAAAATAAATACACAAAATAAAAATATTTAACGAAACAGAAATTGAAAAAAAATAATATTTATTTAAATTTTAAAGTCAAAAGAATCATGGTCAAAACCTGTTGAAACGAACGTAACAAATAACGAACTGAAGACAAGTGAATTTCTTCGTAAAGGAAGAACATCTCTTAGAGCACATAAGCTTTTCATAATAATTTCATGTATAGACTATCATAGATGGAAAATGGAAAGGCTAAAAGTTAAAAAAAAAAATAATAATAATAATAATAATAATAAATTATTAAAAAAATATTGGTGCAAAACAACTTGCATTAAGAATGAAAATTGCGTACATGCTTGAGCTAGAACTTATGAATTTGTAACTGCGTCTAACACAAAATTATGAATATGGGTGTGTCTGTATGAACTAACATGTATACGCCTGAATATATGTCTATGCATATCTGAGTGTCATCACAAACAAACACAGAATAATTTTTTTCCCTCCACCACAAAAATATAATCAAACAAAAATAAAGCACAAATAGATCCACTTTTGAAAAAAAATAGTTTGCCATAGGATCGTGAATGCGTAAAACGCATATATATATATATATATATATATACATATATAATGGAACAAACAAGTAGATAATTCTAGTCCAGTGCTTATTATCAAACAATGCCGAACGAAATCCATTGTATATAAGTACTCAATCTCATCAACAGAAATCACCTATCATATGTAACTGTATATTGGGTCCAATAGGAATGATTTTAAGAAGAGATATTATAACCACATATGCTCTTTTAGAAATGCAAGCAAACGCAACATGACGTCGCTTTCTAAATATTTCTGGAAACTGAAGGAAGAAACAAAACACTTAAGTGGAAAATCCTCAAACAAGACAGAACCTCCAGATCCCTAAAAACAACCTGTTTCTTATGTCTACAAGAAAAAATATGTATTATTAGGGTTTTCAATAATAGTCAATTGTTAAATCAAAGATCCGAGACTACCGTTTTTTGTAGACACATTAAGGATCTAACACTACATTCTTGGTAAACCTTCAAACTTATAACTAACATACTTCATATATTTTTTATGGTCTTGTACACATTTACTGATCTATCTTAAATTACAACTCTAAAATGTTTTATGCACATATACAATACTAGCAATATCAGATAATTAGATTTATATCTATACTGATTTTACAAGGTATATAGTTTGATAATAGGCTTAATTTTTATAGAAAATTTATATTAGCAGTTTACGCGTTATATGGATTTTTACATCTTAAATTCTGAACAAAAAATTATAGTAGTATTTTAAAAATAGCTTACGTATTTTTACATAATTTTATTAACTTATTTACTAAGTTTATCCTAAAGCAGAAACTCCAACCTAAACTTGGAGTCACTCAGCCTTGTTTCTAACCTAAAATAGTTGTCACTTCACCAGTGGAATCTTTTTTGATTACTACTATAACCTTACCCTACAACTATCTCTACATTTCTTCTTTCTCTTTTTCCTATCTTCTATTCCCTCCTCACCTCTTATCTCTTCTCTATCTCTCCTGGAGTCTGGAGTTTTAACGTGGGTGCTTAAATATCTGACCATTGCATAGCATCAAAACCTTTAGCGAGCACTTCCTCTATCAAAACTACTATTATCTTATTCTGTAACTTTCCCTTCTTTCCTTCTTCTTTACCTCTCTCTGTTTCCTCTTAAGGTGTATTTCCCTATTGGATATTTAAATAAGTGTACGTACCATAGGCGGCTTGTTTAGGAATAAAATTGTCTATAGCCATTTTTAATCCCTAACAGTAGAGATGTAATAAGGCATCGAAACAAGAATGCATCTTTGTAGTAACTGTTTGTGTCCACATGCAAAAAATCTATTATATATATATATATATATATATATATATATATATATATATATATATGGTGTATATTAGGCAACAATTTTTCATTTAATGTAAATCATATATATATATATATATATATATATATATATATATATATATATATATATATTTAGTTTATGCAAATTTAGGTAATCCGTATGGGTAGACCTGAGGAGGATGATATCCAGAGAGCTCAATGTAAAATTCAGAGCAGATATGTTTGAATAAAAGACAGATCACGTTAAGATTCCATGTAATAAGCTATTTCACCATAACCCCTTTAACAGGGTTCTGGATCATCAGACTTTACTTCCAAAAGCTGAAATGAAAAATGAAAAGAAATTCACACGTTTTTGACGGACCTCTTCAAGTATACATAAAATTAACGAAGTGAGGTGAGAGAGAGGATATGAGTGTGTCATATGTTTCATTTCAGTTTCCTATTTTTAACCCCGGCTAGATGCTGCTCAAATTTAACGCGTCTCGTCTCTAGATATAGATGGCTAAGGGGTGAATGATAAGAACGACATTAAAGGAAGAAGTTACAACAACCCCAATAAATTACACGACAGGTTTAATTCAAATTCTTAGACGCTGTTAATTCGCGTTACTTTAATGTGCATATTTGGGAAGTTAAGGTTTGATAAATATCTAAATGTTAAAACAATCTACGAAGAAATTAATTTGAAATTCGGTGGAGTTTTGGGTATTTTCTATGAAACAGTCGATTGGAAAAATTCATAGACATAACATTGAAAGAGTAATCCATTTTATATTTAGAAATCTTTTTTATTCCACTAAAACTTTTATCTTATTGCTTGTTAGGTTGACATCTATTCGTTTGATTTTTGTTCATTAAGTAAACTCGTGATTGTTTTTATGTACCCAATTATCAACGGTTATTCCCATTTAAATAATTTTATTATCAACACTGGGGTAGTATATTTCAATCTCAATTAAAATACCAATCTAAACTTTATCTTCGTGCTATTTAAATTTCACTTCCAATTGGATAATATTAGAGGAGAGATTTGGAAGAGATGTCACTAGCAGAAAATTAGGTCCTTCTTTTACAATCTTTTATCTACACATGTCTTAAACTCCTATTTATATCC